GGACACAGAGTCCATGAAAGTTATTATGTGACTTGTTAAGCAAAGTTTTACTTCTGAACTTATTTAGGCTTGCCATAACAAAGGGGTTGAATACTTATTGACTCAAGACAATTCAACTTTTAATTTTAATCCACTTTGACATTATGGGGTATTCTGTGTATGCCAGTGACACAAAACCTAAATTTAATCAATTTTAAATTCAGGTTGTAACAACAAAATGTGGAAAAAGTTAAGGGGTGTGAATACTTTCTGAAGGCACTGTATGCTATTTACATTTGTATCACAAACAATTTGAGAAAATGGTGATTAAAGTGGCCATTTTAGGCCCTTTTTCGAGCTATACATGCATCCAGTGAGACCCCTATGATCAGTGAACCGTACATGATACAGACAACATATTAGTGCTCCAAAAAATTGAGTATGTCTAGATTCAAAAAAAAAAATTATCCCATTCATTTATTTAACATTAAAAATATTAATTTGAATATAGCAAAAGCATCCCTTTAGTTTTTTCTTATATTTAGACATATTGTTTGGAACAATATATTCTCTGATATTTTTATTTTTGGGACCAATTTTACACATAGCAATGAACCAATCACAACCCTCATTAACCAATCACAACCCTCCTTTGGGATTGCACATTCAGCAAATCACCAGCAGAGGCAGTTCCCTTTGAAACCATTTTCCCATTCACTGTGTAGGTGGTGCTCATATAATTGTATTATTACTTCAAAAGTAGCATAGAGCACACTCTAGAAATATTATGCACTCGTAGAGTATATTGTTTTAAACAATGTCAAAAAATTCACTATATCAAAAAGGGTACTTTTGAGATATTCATGTTCTTAATGTTTAATAAATGTATGTGAAAATGTGTATTTCTAGACAAACTCCATATTTTTTAGCACACTAAGGAGTATAATGACACCAAGATGTTGTCTGTATCTGTCACGACCTCCTCCGAAGCTGCCTCCTCTCCTTGTTCGGGCAGGCTTCGGCGTTCGTCGTCACCGGCCTTCTAGCCACTGCCGCTCCTCTTTTCATAATTCCATTTGTTTTGTCTTGTTTTCCACACACACCTGGTTCATATCCCCTCATCAGTCTCTGTATAAGTATTCCCTCTGCTCCCCATGTCTTTGTGTGTTATTGTTTCCATGTGGTGTCGTCGCTAGCTCGGTTGAGCATTATGTACTTTTGTCGCCGGGATATTCAACCGTGTGTTTTTGTTTTCCCAGTATGCATTGAAGGTGCACTGTATTTGGTTTACACATTGCTGCTAACTGCTGTATTGGACGAATAAACCATATTCTGTGATTCACACCTCCTGCACCTGACTCCGTCCGAATCACCCACTACAGTATCATGTACGGTTCACAGATCATAGGGTGTTAGAGGAGGCATAGGTCTAAAAGGAGCTTAAAATGGCCACTTTCGTCATGATTTTTTCAAATTGTTTGTAATACAAATATAAAAAGCGTATAAAAAATCCTTACTCCCAATGAACTTTCTATGTGAGAATTGCCAGAACAATCTGAGATACCCAAAACATTTTCGGGTCACACTGGCGTAGAATCACCCTGGTTCCTTTGAAGCACATACAGTCGTGTGACGTCAAATGTGTTAAAGATCTCTGAATCTATGGCAAAAGAGTTGGATAAGAAGCCAAGGACATTGGGCCTAGAAGTAAAGAATATTGGTATAAAGAACATTAGCCACCACCACTGTATAGTATTTTTAGGAGGAGTTACTGTGCTGTAGTGTTATCAGTGTTTGCTTGTGGTAGATACATACAGTACAGCTACTTAATACGCTGGTCATGATAGCACCACAATGTATTCCATAAACATAATAGGTATTAACTCATTCAATTTCAGTCGCATTCTTGCAGAGATGTATTTATATTTTTAATATGAGATTTGTAAAGACACGTGTTCTGCAGCTCATGTCTCTTCCTTTTGCAAAGAATGACATTAACAGGACGTCATGGTGTGTTGGGAGTATTCTCAATCACACTAACCAGCTGCAACTGTGTATGTGAGTAAATGTCATGCCGTGCGTATGTGTTGTTTGGTGTGTGGGAGGGGGGCTCACAAAATGCTTGAAGCGACAAAAAGGAAAGAGGGGAAAAAGAGGAGAAATTATGTAAGCTCTCAATCATTTCTTACCTACTGTCAGGGACGCCCCATACCTCCGTCCTCCTCCTTCCATCCCTCCTTTATTTACCCATTCATCTCCTCTGAAAAGAGAGAGAGGTGTATGCCTGCCACTCGATCAACAGCCTCTCACTCTGGGTCTCTTCTACACACAAAGGAAGGTGATGGCCTCTGATGTACTCTGCCCTAGGTTTGGATAGTGGCTGAGGAAAACGTGGCATTGCGCTACATAGTGTAGGAAAGCCATGAATGATGGCTGTTTATATTGTCATTGTATCATCCATCTGAGGTTTATGTCGGCACAGACGTTGGTGACATCGTCACGTTTATTCAATAAAACACTGTGTGTTTCGATAGAGACTTCCTGTTTTTTGCATGGGCAGTGTCGCATTCCACTGAATCTGCATGTATCGGCCGTTCGCATATGCCGTAGATAGGTGCTTATCAGAGCCTGTGTTTGTCAGACATGAGAGGACGGCAAAAAGTTACTTTTCACAAAATCGTCTGTCTAGTCCGAACGGTTTGAGAAAAGCGAACAAACACGTAGATGTCGGCTGTTTTGTGCTATGATCCCCCACTGAAGGTTACCCAGTACTGGGAGGTAAACATTTACAAAAGTGAATGGGGGTAGAATGTGCCAATAACAAAGGGGTAAACAAAATAAAATTCAGAGCTTTCTTTTATCTCATAGATATAGGAAAGACACTTCAAAACCTACTTTTTGCTATCTGTTTTGTCATGTATGAATGTGTTATTTAATGTGTTTCTGTGGGCTAATAGCAGTAAGACCAAATTCAATGTTTCAACAATAAAATACATCCGAAAATAATTACACCTACAGGGGTCGTAAAATTCAAAATCAAATAGGTAAAAGATCCTATAGAGGGTCATAACAGGTGAATGTGACAGTGACGCAATGCAAGATACAATCTTCCCAGCTCTGCAGATTTTGCTGCGAAGAGACAGAATCATTGGATCATTTGTTTTGGTACTGTCGATTTGTAGCTTGTTTTTGGTCACAGGTCCAGGAATGACTGAAGGATTGCAATATTTACCTGGAACTAACCCTGCAGATAGCACTACTGGGTGATCTGAAAAGTCATAGTCAATCTATCAATAATATAATAATATTTTAATTTACAATCTGTAGAAACAATGAGAATGGAAGGGTTCAGAACTTTTGTGAAGCATAACAGTACAGTTGAAGAATATATGGAAAATAGAAATCCAATATGGATGGTGTTAAGAGATAGATGGGAGGTGTTGAATGGAGCTGAAGGATGGACAAATAACAACTAACAACTACTAATAACAACAAGATAACTAATGTAAAGCATACTGTGTCCATAATAAGTACAGCGCCTTGCAAAAGTATTCATCCCCCTTGGAGTTTTTCATATTTTGTTGCATTACAACCTGTAATTTAAATGGATTTGGATTTAATTTAATGGACATACACAAAATAGTCCAAAATGGTGAAGTGAAATGAAAAAAAATAACTTGTTTCAAAAATAGGAAAAGTGGTGCGTGCATATGTATTCATCCCCTTTGCTATGAAGCTCCTAAATAAGATATGGTGCAACCAATTACCTTCAGAAGTCACATAATTAGTTAAATAAAGTCCACCTGTGTGCAATCTAAGTGTCACATGATCTGTCACATGATCTCAGTATATATACACCTGTTCTAAAATGCCCCAGAGTCTGCAACACCACTAAGCAAGGGGCACCATCAAGCAAGCGGCACCATGAAGACCAAGGAGCTCTCCAAACAGGTCAGTACAGATCAGGGTTGGGTTATAAAAAAATATCAGAAACTTTGAACATCCCACGGAGCACCATTACATTTATTATTAAAAAAATAATTTTTGGCCGCCCACCAAAACCCACGGACCAGGCAAGGAGGGCATTAATCTGAGAGGCAACAAAGACACCCTGAAGGAGCTGCAAAGCTCCACAGCGGAGATTGGAGTATCTGTCCATAGGACCACTTTAAGCCGTACACTCCACAGATCTGGGCTTTACGGAAGAGTGGCCAGAAAAAAGCCATTGCTTAACCTCTTAAGGCCCAAGCTGTTTTTTTACATGCATTTTTTATTTCTCTTTGCTATTTGGGCTTATTGGAACCTAATTAGAATAAAAACTAAGTATCATCTTTTGATATTATGTACTTTTAGAGAAAAATGATGTCCACATATGTGGATTCATGGTCCGAATTTCCATAAAACACAATAAAGTCACCTTTGTGTAATAGAATGAAAAACTCTTCATTTCTGCCTTGAACACAGCAGTTTTTTTCCTGACTGTTTTTTAATGTATTAATAACACATACACATATTTTTTGAACATGTTTTGACTATCGGAGAGTAAAAATAATATGGAAACATTGCATTTTTGCCCATTTTGGACAGTTAAAAATAGTGTTTGGAACATTTGATATGCTGCAAAATAGTTGCAGGATGACATTGTATGTCTGTAACAAAATATAAAACATTCAAAGCATTTTAAATAGTCACTCTTGCATTAGGCTACTAATGTGTTTTGAACATCATAGTGAAAAAAAGAAAAAATAGTAGGTGAGTAGCTCATGTGACATTTTGCATTGGTAATGTAAAAAAGGGAACATGTTAAAGGCTGCGATAACTGAGCACTGAAGGACCAGGCCTGCTTTCAGAGGCCCAGAGGTCACCTGATTGATTGACCTTCACGGAGTCGGAGAACATGGAGGAACCAAGGAACATGTACACACCTTGAGAATCACTGCCATCACTTATGTGTGAAAGGCTGAGTAACAGTTGCGCTCGGTTTGCAAGCACAAGAACACTTTGCAGGTCATACAACGCACTCGGGTTCTTCCAGTGCAGCCTAGTTGTCTGCAGCGCATTGCATTCTTCAGGCCGATCATCTCTGGGAGGTGGGCATTAGCCCTCCTACGGACCGAGACATGGGGCAACTCTGTCACGTGACGTTTCACTCCCTGGTTTGAATCTTCTTCTTCCTCTGACTGTGTCGAAAGGTCTGCATCTGCACCGTGATGCTGGGCCAAGAGGATCTTAGCCACTTCCATGCGGAACTGAAGGAACTGGATGGGTCTTGTCTTTGGTCCAGCACATATTGCATGGTCTTTTCGGTAGAGTAGCCAGCTGTTGGCTAAAGCCAGATCCGTGAAGTGCATTACCATCCGCATTGTCCACTTCTTAGTACGGGTGCTCATGCGATAGTAACTTATCATTCTATCCATCAAATCAACTCCACCCATCTTGATGTTGTACTCACGGACAATGCTTGGTCGCGAGACAGTGACATATTGTTTCACTTTCTTGTCCCAGTGCTGGCAGGTGTCTTCAGGCTGTGTACCATGAACAACAGACATCAGCAATACTGGTTTGTTGTCGTACCACTTCACTACACACAACTTTCCATCTTCAGCGGAAACTTCTGATGAGGTACCTCTTCCTGCGTTTTTCATGGCTTTGTCACTGGGTAACTTATGCTTCGCTTCAGCGAGTCGGTTCTTCATTATTGTACCAGTCATGTACAGCTCTTTCTCCATCATTCGTTGCGCACCTTTGATGGTGGTGAAGAACCGGTCACAATACACCTTTGTGCCACGATGCAGAGTTTGGCACAGACGCTCGATGACTAAGCTTCCCAAACTCAGGCCCTCTGGTTCTTCGACCTTCTCAATCAGTGAACCTGTGCCTTGATACAGCTCAAAGTCAAGCACAATGCCATCTGCTGTAGCACAAACAAAGTTCTTTATGCCAACTGGGTTTGGCTTCATTGGCAGATATTGTCTGCACGGACAGGCTCCTGTGAAAGGAATCATCTGCTCATCAATAGATGCGCAATCAGGTCGATTCAGAGACAAGCAGCCTTGCAGAATCCGATCCAGAAAAGGCCTCACCTTCCAGAATTTGTCCAACATTCTCAGGTCTTCTGGCACATCATGATCAATAACCACTTTTATTGCTCCCCTCAGTTTGAAGAATCTGGCACGTGTGAATTTGTCAGTGATGGCAGTGATTTTCAAGGCTTTGGACCAGTACATCCTAATGGTTGGGTATCGGATGCAGGACATCAAAATACAGGCACCAAAAAAGTGGTAAACCTCATCTACTGTCATGTTAAGTGGCTCCCCACTCTTATACAGTGACATAATATTAGAGCATTCTGCAATCGTCATCATCAAATCTCTATCTATGTACTGTTCAAAATAGTCTAGTGGGGTCCAGCCATGTCTGTCTAGATCAGTTTCGTCCTGATGCTGATACTCTGCCAGGTTTGGCGTCAATGGAGTAGCCTTCCAGCGTAGTCCACGTCCTGCACAACCAGAATCAGAATAAAAATAGTATTTATTGTAGGAAGTTACATTTTTACCCATGTAAGCAATTGAGGTATATTGGTGCATAAAATACTTGAATCTGTGTGGAAGTTTATATGAAATTTGAAGATTTACCCTCAAGTTGTGAAGGCCAAAACTAATAACAATTACCTTGTTCAGAGTCTCCCTTTTTCTTTTTTTTTGTTTGGCTTGGTCTTGGTGTTGGCTCTTCCAAGTCATCTTCTGAGCTATCAGCCTCAATCTCTTGACTTTGACGGCGACGTCTGAGAGTGCGGGATGAACCTGTACCTGTGCCTGTACCTGTCTCTGTCCCTGTCCATGAACCTGTCAACAAGTTTTGTAAATAAGCATTTTGCTTCCAATCCTTCACATAGCCCTAAGGCCCTAACTGCATAAAATAAACAAATATCTACTGGGTCTTGGCTAACCATTATCTGCACTGTGGTCAGTGGGCTCAGGAATGGGGTCCTCATCATCACTACTGTGCTCACTGCTGCTTTCCTCCTGTGGTGATGGTTGGTAATTGCCATCCAGGATAGGATCATCGTTGTCAGACACGTCCAAATCTGAGTTGTTTCCATCGGAGTGGATAGAAAAAAGCCATTGCTTAAAGAAAAAAATAAGCAAACACATTTGGTGTTCACCAAAAGGCATGTGGGAGACTCCCCAAACATATGGAAGAAGGTACTCTGGTCAGATGAGACTAAAATTGAGCTTTTTGGCCATCAAGGAAAACACTATGTCTGGCGCAAACCCAACACCTCTCATCACCCCGAGAACACCATCCCCACAGTGAAGCATGGTGGTGCCAGCATCCTGCTGTGGGGATGTTTTTCATCGGCAGGGACTGGGAAACTGATCAGAATTGAAGGAATGATGGATGGCACTAAATACGGGGAATTCCTTGAGGGAAACCTGTTTCAGTCTTCCAGAGATTTGAGACTGTGACGGAGGTTCACCTTCCAGCAGGACAATGACCCTAAGCATACTGCTAAAGCAACACTCGAGTGGTTTCAGGGGAAACATTTAAATGTCTTGGAATGGCCTAGTCAAAGCCCATACCTCAATCCAATTGAGAATCTGTGGTATGACTTAAAGATTGCTGTACACCAGCGGAACCCATCCAACTTGAAGGAGCTGGAGCAGTTTTGCCTTGAAGAATGGGCAAAAATCCCAGTGGCTAGATGTGCCAAGCTTATAGAGACATAACCCAAGATACTTGCTGCTGTAATTGCTGCAAAAGGTGGCTCTACAAAGTATTGACTTTGGGGGGTGAATAGTTATGCACGCTCAAGTTCTCTTTTTTTGTGTTATTTCTTATTTGTTTCACACACAAAAATATTTTGCATCTTCAAAGTGGTAGGCATTTTGTGTAAATCAAATGATACAAACCACCCAAAAATCAATTTTAATTTCAGGTTGTAAGGCAACAAATCAGGAAACATGCCAAGGGGGGTGAATACTTTATAGGTTGAGAGCTTTATAGGTATATAGTTTATAGGTTGAGAGCTTTTGTGAAAGAGCATAGTTAGAAAGATATGGCATATAGAAGCAAACCGGATGGACATCGCAAAAATGATCGGAGAGGTTGAGGGTAGAGGAAGTTCAGGAGTAAAAACAAACAAAATAGAATTATTGTAAAATTGACTTTGCGTTGTTGTTCACTAGTTTACTCCAATTAGGGAACGGGTGGTGGGGTTGGAAAGTAATAAAGGGAAATATGTTTTTTTAAATGATATGTACAGTGGGGAAAAAAAGTATTTAGTCAGCCACCAATTGTGCAAGCTCTCCACTTAAAAAGATGAGAGAGGCCTGTAATTTTCATCATAGGTACACGTCAACTATGACAGACAAAATGAGGAAAAAAAATCCAGAAAATCACATTGTAGGATTTTTAATGAATTTATTTGCAAGTTATGGTGGAAAATAAGTATTTGGTCAATAACAAAAGTTTCTCAATACTTTGTTATATACCCTTTGTTGGCAATGACACAGGTCAAACGTTTTCTGTAAGTCTTCACAAGGTTTTCACACACTGTTGCTGGTATTTTGGCCCATTCCTCCATGCAGATCTCCTCTAGAGCAGTGATGTTTTGGGGCTGTCGCTGGGCAACACAGACTTTCAACTCCCTCCAAAGATTTTCTATGGGGTTGAGATCTGGAGACTGGCTAGGCCACTCCAGGACCTTGAAAGGCTTCTTACGAAGCCACTCCTTCGTTGCCCGGGCAGTGTGTTTGGGATCATTGTCATGCTGAAAGACCCAGTCACGTTTCATCTTCAATGCCCTTGCTGATGGAAGGAGGTTTTCACTCAAAATCTCACGATACATGGCCCCATTCATTCTTTCCTTTACACGGATCAGTCGTCCTGGTCCCTTTGCAGAAAAACAGCCCCAAAGCATGATGTTTCCACCCCCATGCTTCACAGTAGGTATGGTGTTCTTTGGATGCAACTCAGCATTCTTTGTCCTCCAAACACGACGAGTTGAGTTTTTACCAAAAAGTTCTATTTTGGTTTCATCTGACCATATGACATTCTCCCAATCCTCTTCTGGATCATCCAAAGGCACTCTAGCAAACTTCAGACGGGCCTGGACATGTACTGGCTTAAGCAGGGGGACTGCAGGATTTGAGTCCCTGGCGGCGTAGTGTGTTACTGATGGTAGGCTTTGTTACTTTGGTCCCAGCTCTCTCCAGGTCATTCACTAGGTCCCCCCATGTGGTTCTGGGATTTTTGCTCACCGTTCTTGTGATCATTTTGACCCCACGGGGTGAGCTCTTGCGTGGAGCCCCAGATCGAGGGAGATTATCAGTTGTCTTGTATGTCTTCCATTTCCTAATAATTGCTCCCACAGTTGATTTCTTCAAACCAAGCTGCTTACCTATTGCAGATTCAGTCTTCCCAGCCTGGTGCAGGTCTACAATTTTGTTTCTGGTGTCCTTTGACAGCTCTTTGGTCTTGGCCATAGTGGAGTTTGGAGTGTGACTGTTTGAGGTTGTGGACAGGTGTCTTTTATACGGATAACAAGTTCAAACAGGTGCCATTAATAGAGGTAACGAGTGGAGGACAGAGGAGCCTCTTAAAGAAGAAGTTACAGGTCTGTGAGAGCCAGAAATCTTGCTTGTTTGTAGGTGACCAAATACTTATTTTCCACCATAATTTGCAAATAAATTCATAAAAAATCCTACAATGTGATTTTCTGGAATTTCTTTTCTCAATTTGTCTGTCATAGTTGACGTGTACATATGATGAAAATTACAGGCCTCTCTCATCTTTTTAAGTGGGAGAACATGCACAATTGGTGGCTGACTAAATACTTTTTTTTCCCCACTGTATATGTATTTATATGTATGTATGTGTATATGTATGTGTAGGTATGTGTATATATATATATATATATATATATATGTGGGGGGAAAAACATATGGGGGATTGGAAGTGATGCAGACAATTACATTGATGGAAGTTACAATCTATCTGCAATATTAAAGCTGATCTACCCCCCCAAAAAAACAGTTCTGGTTCTCTCCCTTTACTGCTCTACAAACAATACTTGACAATTGAGCCCACTCCCCAAATGCAAATTAATGAAATCAACAGTAATTTTTGCCATTTTGGTTGTACGAGTTGATCACCGATGCCATTTCTCTGACCCTAATCACAATAGTGAAAGAGCTATTTTCTGTACAGATGCTAATTTTTTAAGCATATTATTTTTACTTATTTAATATAATGCAGTGGCAAGCAACCTTGAATCAGGACAACCTCCCAAATGTGACAAAACACCTATATGTGAGTTTAAAGGATCAATCAGCAGTAGAAACAAAGCGTATCCTCCCCGCCACTGTTTCGGTAAAAAGCTGAGGGAGGGGGCTAGAGAAATTCATACACAGAGCTATGATATCGAAATGTATATTGTAACTATGTTTTGTGGCTTTACAGTGTTTGTTTACATTTATTTTGTTTACAAACATTGGACTAAAACAAGCTTATATTTTGGGTTCTGATGGGGTACGACAGTTGAACTAAGCTCATGAGGCATTTATAAGTTATATTTTCAAGAATCAATAGGTACATATCATTAATGTATAAGTCAAAAAATTGATGTAGCAACGGCTAAATGTCGTTTTATAAATGTACAGATTTGCCTTCTGAGTTGCTCAGCGGTCTAAGGCACTGCATCGCAGTGCTTGAGGCGTCACTACAGACCCTGGTTCGATCCCAGGCTGTGTCACAACCGGCCGTGACCGGGAGTCCCATAGGGCGCCGCACAATTGGCCCAGCGTCGTCCGGGTTAGGGGAGGGTTTGGCCGGAGGGGGCTTTACTTGTCCCATCGTGCTCTAGTGACTCCTTGTGGTGGGCCGTTGCCTGCAAGCTGACTTTACAATGATTGTCTTTCATAATTTGGTCAGATATACTTGGATGTGTAGTGTCAGCAATTGTTGCTGGCATGTCATGCCTAAGTTTGCTAATCTTGCCATTGAAAAAATTATTAAAGTAGTTGGCAATATCAGTTGGTTTTGTGTTGAATGAGCCATCTGATTCAATGAATGATGGAGCCGAGTTTGCCTTTTTTCCCCAACATTTCATTTAAGGTGCTCCAAAGCTTTTTACTATCATTCTTTATGTCATTTATCCTTGTTTAAAGCGAAGTGAGAGAAGTCAAGTCACAGAGTTCCAGCCATCCTGTGTTTTCCCACCAGTTAGTAGTTTTGTGTTAGCCACCAAGGCCAGTGTGCACCCTTGCAGATATGCAAGTAGATATTTAATATCTTTCCTGTGTTTATGACAGTGGATGCACTTCCTGAAATGCTAATTAGGCACTTCTACTTCGGATATGTAGCCTAGGATACGCATGGTGTGTTGTCCCCCAGTGTCTTTTTACAAGCCCTTCAATTGTATACTTTATATGGGTATTTCATTGTGAATTGTATTAAAGGGGGAATTCAAGTTCATTGTGCAGTTGTAGCCCTGTTACGGTGCTATGCTTTGTAGAAGACGTGCGGCAGCACCACTTTAAACACTAATTAGTGGAGTCACGTTGTATGGCGCTGTTTTGTCCTGTATAGCATTAAGCCATTATTTCCATGTTATTATTACATGCATATTGTTTATAGTATAGTGAATTAGAGATTGTATCATGTATACACTGAGTGTACAAAACACTGTGCGACTGTATTTCTCTGTCTTGTCATCATTGCCCTTACCAGCACATGGAAGCGAACACATAACCTAAAGAACACACAGTCCAAAAAGTCCTCACTTACAGTTATAGACAGAAGCCTGTGACATGACAGACCATTGAGGACTCCTGAGTGGCGCAGTGGTCTAAGGCACTGCATCGCAGTGCTAGCTGTGCCACTAGAGATCCTGGTTCGAATCCAGGCTCTGTCGTAGCCGGCCGTGACCGGGAGACCCATGGGGCGGCGCGCAATTGGCCCAGGGTAGGGGAGGGAATGGCCGGCAGGGATGTAGCTCAGTTGATAGAGCATGGCGTTTGCAACGCCAGGGTTGTGGGTTCGATTCCCACAGGGGGTATGAAAAAAATAATAATAATGTAAGTCGCTCTGGATAAGAGCGTCTGCTAAATGACGTAAATGTAAATGTAAATATCTC